TTTATTCACACAAACACATATTATATTTTAGATAGCTAACAAAGAATATAAAATAATGAAATAGCAACTGAAAAATAAGCAAGAAAATTCCATAAACCACCACTGAGCTCTTAATTAGAAAACGGCTTTGTGGGTTACGGGGAAAGGGCTAAACTTTCTAAACCAAAACATTGCTGGCCTGCCTTTCCTCCAATAACATAGGATGTGGCTCTTTATGAAAAAAAGTTGGAGAGCCTTGGTCTAACCGGTGACCATTCCAGAAAACAGATTGTGTTACAAGACAAAACATTAAAATTCTGAAAAGGCTACTATTTATCTGCAAAAACTACCACTTGCCATGAAAAAAGTGATTCAGGTGTAGCCTAATCTTATGCTAAAATTTTATGAACATTGATTTTGATTAGCCTAACTAGAAAGTATTAAAATCTCAAATAAAAACAAACGTGTGGTTCAACCTAACAACTATTTACTATAGGCTACATATTAAATTTATAATGTTACAGTCAAATTCCATTAGCTGTCCACCAACTTTTCACTTATTGCAATGGAAAGTTGTATGCTATGATTAATGCATTTGGTAGACATTTCACTGACAATGGAGCGACAATTTCAGTCATGACAAACTGGTACAGTTATGTCTCGATAATATGATGTTTTGAAATCTGACGTGCTCGGCAGTTCGATACACTACCAATCGCCCTTTCTTGGTAATTTTTGTTTACTTTGTACAGTAGTACCTTGATAACAAGACTCTCATGGGGATTATAAAATAAGTCTGGTTATCAAGGCTGACTTTTTATTGAGGTTTATTGAGGTTGTTATTGAGGTCATGTGTTTAGAGGTAAAATAAAATCAAGTGGATTTGAAAAATACACTTGTTATCAAGAGTGACTTGTTATCGAGGGTCTTCTTATTACTGGGTCTAGAAACCCAGTTCCACTGTATTTTTATCAACCCAATTACGCTTAATAGTGATTTATACCTACTGCATTCTGAAACAATATTATTATATTTTATCTTCATAAAACGCAAGGAAACCCATTCTTACGACATTTCCAGTAATCCGACACCCTTCTGTTTAGATTGATGGGAAGCAAATGAAATTCGTCCTGGTATGGCACACAAGTGATAGATAAACGACACTTCTTAACTATACACTCGTCATTAAGTTACCATACCTGCATGTTCATAACTCCACGTATTATATCTTCCCAACCTTGTACACCACAAATGTGACCTTTCAAGACTTGTAAAATGTGACATCAATGGGACTTAATTGTCAAAATACTTCAAAAATATATACAGATCATGGAATATAGTTCTGAAAGGTTGATTCAGAAAAAAATCATTATAATTTAACATCACTTTAGCACAAATTGTATCCAGGCTACATTTAAAGTTAAGCCAAGCAAACACCAATATAGCCAAACACAAGATTTACATTAAATTACCGAGAATTGTTTGTAAACATAGTTTTATTTTCATGTTAAATAATAAAACGTTTAACTTAACCCTGTTCTAAGATAAAAATAATAGCATCTCTTTTTTTTCTTTTACGTTCAAATCCATGCATTTTAAACATTTATTTGTACTAGCTACCTAGTGTTACAGAAAACACAAGATTCAACTTCTTGAAACTTAAAAGATGAAATTAAGTTAGAGTATACTTCAAAACTTTGTAAACTTGAAAATGTTCTTATATCAGTGTATTAAGTACCTACTAGCTGTGTACCCGTTCTACGGACGGGATCATGTAGTCAGTTGAAACCTTCTTATAATCAGAACAGCAGTTGGTTTGCATATTTAGTGTGAATTTTTCCAGATATGGAGGCAAAACTCTGTATACAGTACTGTTTCAGGATCTGTTTCCCGGTTATCAAACCTCAAATACAATTTGATACACACACACACAGAATCTCCGGTTAGCGGCCTGAATGATGCCTAGAAATTTAATTTCATTTACAGTTACACATTATTGCACTTGTGATTAATAAAATCCGTTATGTAAGGTACAACATTTTTAATCTCACTTGGTTTTGGATTTTCTTACAAAAAGTGATTGGAAATGGTTGCAGTATTAGTAAACAACATTTAATGTAAACATTTCCAATGCCAGCTAGAAAAAATTATCTTTATCCAAACAGCTGTTCGTTACTTCAAGTCGTATTCTCCAAACAGATGAGCATTTTATAAATGACGTATGTGGTAAACATTAATAGAAAACTTGTCAAAAATCGCACAAAATTGGGTCTTTGAACGTCCGTTATTTTATTTCAAAAGTAGTGAGGCCATATTTTAATGGCTCTCTCTTGCCAATCCAGTGAATACAAAAAGACTATTTGAATCCCGATGGATGCTCACATATTTCAGGAGAAAGCCACATAAAATGCATTCTGGGCCGTGACGGACAGACCGATAGACAGACAGAAATTGAGATAGACTTGTTTCGGCTTCTTTAATGTATAAAACGTAAAAATAGCCAAAAATAAATAATTCTGGGCAATGTACTGACAAAGCTCTAATTTTATTTACATAGAAGATAAAATAACTAAAGCATAAGTGGTAGATATTGTTTCAGGTGGAAGGAATTCATACATCGTAAACTATCAGGAAAACTAACGGACCATTCTGATCAATCAACCAGTAAATGTTTGTTATCAATCACAACAGGGCTACATTAAGACTGTTGAAGACTTCTGTAGGCCTAATTGGTGGCCAGTTTACTTTTGAAGTGGCTCTGTTGTTTTTAAAGAGAAGTGTGCCCAAATTTTATAAATATTTTAACATTAATGATATTGTTTATTTTTTCCAGTCTCCAATTCTAATCTAATAATGTTCAAAATACAGGAAAATTATCATCTACCATGTTTGTATACATTTGATCCATATTTTGTAAACAAATAACGAGCATAATGTAAGTATCAACAATTTCAAATTACTCTGTGATTGACAACATGGCCACTCCATGGAATATTTAGGCCTAAACGTTATGTGCTCATATGGTTGGACACTCATTTATTCAACTATTTGTAAGAGTTTCAAATTCAACCCGGGTTTCCTATGTCCAACAAGAGTCTTTAATTACTACTCTCAAAACAAAATATGTTTACAGAAAACACAAACGTTTCTGTTATACAGTATAAACAATGTGTAGCCTACTTACAAACCAGATATCAAATTCTTACCTCAACCATTATGTTACCATAAGTAAAAATTAAAAATCTCAATCTTTCAATTCTTAATTTATTGAAATTATTTAAAATGAAATGGTTCCATAAGTACTTATTAAAATCACTATGTTCAATGAATCGGTACTTTTACGATCAGAAAGAGCATTAAGATTTTAATGACGAGACTAAACCAGTTTATTGCTTCAAGCTTGGATGCTTATTGACAATAGAAACTGTGTACAGTTAATGACTTTTTGAAGGTGAAGGTACATTTTGTTTTATTTTAATGTTCAGCTGGAATGATTCTACGTTAATTGATAACGGTGATAGCCTAGTTTTAATTTGCACGAATGCACCTTTGTGAGGTTTTAAAGGTGCACTTACTGAAATATGAGTCATGGGAGCACATCTAAACAAAACTTAATTAATTTAATTTAATCAGGAATAAGATCTGTCACTTCAATCTAGTTCCATATACTGGAAAAATTGTTTTATTCTATGTCCTAAGTGAACAAGAAAACTAACGATTTCTCTTTTACAGACCAAGAGTGTAGACCATAGAGTGCAGAAATTGGGCTGAAAAAAATACTCTTACCGTGTAGGCCTTGTATTTTTTTGGGCTGTATATAATTGCATTTAAAAAATCAAAAAGATAGCCTAGCAGTTTTTCATTAGGCCTACAAGTAAGTAATTAAATAGATAAGTTGCTTTGGTAATTAAATAAATTAAGTAGCCTAAATAAATAGCTGGGTGATAGTGCTCGCCTAGTAATGAAAAGGTTGTCGGTTTGATTCTGAGAAAAGTACGTAGCTTTTTGATAGTTCAAAACTGGACCCAGCTGTCCCTGATCATTGGGCTTGTATTAAATGGTCCTGACTAATGAAACAGCTGGTCCTAGTCAGTAACAAAGCTAAACAGATTATCCCACTCCATTCTACACTCATGCTTCATTCATATTTGGGTTAAAACATGCACATGGGTGGTGTCCGCATCTCAATCGATAAGGATAATAATTCACGTTGTTTTCGGATTCTAGACTATTTGACAACGTTTATGGTAGGCCAGCTTGTCTGTACCGTGTTACATACCTTTTGGGAACTACGTATTATTTCATTCTCAAGTTTTAAATTGTTGAAATAAGAGATAATGTCCACTCATGAGGTAATAACACTCATGAGTACTAAATACTCTTAAATTGGGCTTACTCTTGGAAATAAACAAGTTTGTTTTACTGCAGCGTTTTAGCACAATCCAACAGTGGGAATGTTTGGTTGGGGGATTTTTGTTATTTTTGAAGGATTGTACAAAAGAATGATTTTTTTTTAATTGTTTGTAAAAGTTTCAAAAGTTGTAAGCCTAGACAATTAGGCCTAATTGAGAATACAGATTTTTTTTTACAGCTAATAAAATATTATTATCCTGCACATAATGTTTATTTATTTTTATTTATTGATAAAATTAAATTGCTTGTGGCCTATACATCCTGATAACATTTGAAAAGTGCTAACATACATAATTGCAATTTTTAGCTAATTGAATAAGGCCTACACATAAAATAATAAACATAAAGTTACACAAAAATATGACTATATGACCCTTAGGCCTAATTTTATGAGCTTTTATGATTTTATGAGGGGAAAAACTTGGTTTAAAGAAGCATCAACGATCAACAAAATACATTTTAGGTTAGTTTTTTTGTAGCATCAACAACAACACTAGGCCTACTGTATTTTGGATAATTTTTTGTTAAGTGAGGGACATTATAACCTTACCTTCCCATTGCTATTAAGGTAAATTTACAGGAAATTAGAAACATTATTGCTAACTTACCGTTACTGAAATCGGGTTCAGGATTAGCACCATCTTCAGTCTTAAGTGATTTACAGGAAACAGGGTTGTCCAGCAACTGGTTTTCCTCAGTTTTAGCTAGAAACAAAAACGAATCTAGTTCAGTTGACTAATAACATTCAGCATATCAACACTTTAGCAGGTTGCCATCACTTCACGAGTAACCGATTGCTCGTGCTGGCTACTAATTTCATGTGTGTGGCAGCCGAATTTGACAATAATTCCCAAGGTTCTTGACACACTGTATTAAAGCTTGATTAAAGCGCATGATTCTTTTACATTAAAGGTGCTAACAACAGTTATTATTACAATAAGATACGTTTTAACTACTGTAAGTAAAGAGCAAACTATAATTATTTTCCATTTATAAAACTATGCACTCAGTAAGTTATTGTCCTTTAGTCTACCAAAATTACCAACCTCACAAAAGAGAGGCAGGAATAAATAATCTATTGCTTTAGGCCTATGTATGATAAATAAGCAGATTAGGTTGGTAACGTTCGCTACCGGGCGGAAATCAGCCGCGCCCGTTCATTGTGGTAGCCTGAAATACTAAAAGAAAGTCCTTTACTGTGGAACAGATATATATAAGTATGACCACCCACACAAACCGGATAAAAAAATGTGTTTTATCTATTAGATTTCATTACATTTAGCTTATATATCATTGTGTAGGTAGCAAATATGAATTTTTTAGAAGGATTTAGGCTATTCATAGGTTTGGCTCATATATGAGCCGCCCGGTCTACAAAATCTATATAAACACGTTACCGTAGTCACTACACGTCTCACTTCAACCATCTACAACAATAAAAACACTGTTTAGGTTATTCATATAAAAATCTGATCGGCTTCAAGTCAGCTGTGGTTATCCAGGAGTACCAACATAGCAACACTGTATCTAAACCCTATAAGTCAAGAAACCCAGAGACCATACATACAGTATGAGGCCATATTCCTATAGACCGCTACAAAAGTTTCAAGCCTCTAAAATAGACGGGTCTCACAAACGACCATTTAGTCACACTGTAACACTGGCTCATATTAGAGCACTCGGGCTATTTCGACATAACAGCCGGCCAGGCTATATTTATGGATTTTTTTATGCATACGGGTAGCGAACTTGTTAGTATTTGCTTGGCATTGGCATAGAAATTATCTAAAGTCAATGGGCATTTGCTGTTTTTGAACTAAAAATTAACGTTTTTGACACCTTTAGATTCAATTTATCAAACAGAAAGAGCATTTCTGATAGAGGTCAACCCCAATTGTGATTCACAACATTGCAAATAACAAGTCCAGTACCAGTACATCAACAAAAATTGTACGGTACCATAAAAAATGTGCATTGGTGAAGACGGTGTGTTCAAATAATTTTATGTAGGTAAGATGACAAGGGCTTGAAAATTACACAAATGTTTCGAAACTAGTCGCCCTTTAAGTACAGTAGGATTGACGACATATGGTACGTAAACCTATTTCAAATTGTTTACGTTGCTAAAGGAGTCGTTAAAAAAAGACCACTATGAAGGGTGCTTTGTGAGGTGCACCTCTTACTTAATAGGACGTTTTCCTACTTCATACTTATCCACAGTGTATGCCTATGTATATATGTATGTGTCCATTAGAAAATGTTATAGCTAGGCTTACTTTGGTAATACGGAGCCCACCCTTATACAGCGCACTGCGGCGGTTAAGTTAGGTTGGGTTATCATGAATAGGAAGTATGACTCATCTGGTATTGTTCGATTCATAATGAAACGAGGAAAGTCCTACAAATATATTCGTGATACCCCAACCTTGAACATAACCGCAACAGCGCGCTGTAAAATATGTGGCCTTCGTACAATACCAAAGTACCATTTTATATCCAGGCCTAGACTAATCAGATTTTAGTGTTTCAATATGAGAGGAAAATGTAACGAAATAGGCAAGTTGAAGATAAATTAATAATCCCTGGGGTTAGAATGTCTAGGCCTATTGATAGGCTAACCCACTTTAAAATAGGGAAAAGATTTTTGGTAGCGACAATTTAGTCTCATAAGGGGAATTATAGGCCTAATTGATTTGTACTAGATTGTAGAATTGGACTGTCAAGTTACTTACGGTCAGGTAATGTGAGATCCGGTGGCTTCACATCCGTTGGTGCACCATCTTCCGAGTGCTCCGTCGCTTGAGGATCCTCCGACGCCGCCGGTGGTTCCTCCTTCACCTCCTCATCGCCTCTTTCTCGTTCTCTCTCCATTGGTTCTGATTTGATTCCGACACTAGATTCACTACCGCTTCCCATATTCCCTGACCCGTTTTCTCCCCCATTTCCTGACACTGGCACATTTCCGTTATTACCTTTTTTCTTGTCCCTAATTATAGGTTTGTCTTTGCTCATGGCACTGGTTCAGTTAGCACATGCTGGTTTGAGTTCACCCAGGATATATGACTGAAGCGTGTAACCTGTAACAAAAAATTATAGATTGAATTAAATGTTATCAAAAATTATGTTTAAATGGGAGTTTAAAGATACTGATACATTAAATCATCTAAACCAATTGATTGGTTCATGGGTATAGTAGGTCTATAGGCCTACAAGTTACTGAGTTTTTCAAAAATCTTCCCATCCTTAGTAGGATTCCTTTGATGAACACCGCTAAGTCAGATTCATTCAATTGAGCAACAATGATGGCAAAATCATACATTGAAATTTGTTTTCAAGCAAGTTTATCTTTCAGAGTTATAATGTTATCTAAGGAATTATAAAGATGGTACAAGCCTACACAATAAACTGAAGGACTAAAATCTATTCAAATAAGAGGTTTTAAAGTTTAACACTGAGTACTAGGTCTTCTGGGTAAACGACCATTTCGGATTACTAGAAGAATGTATTTAGGTATATAAAATGGCATTAGGTACCGGTACTGTATACACGATGAATTAATACAACATTTCTGAGTCGTTGGCATAGATTAGAGGATCATGTTCACAAATTAAGCTACACACAAAGTAACTTAAATCTAGATCTCAATCTTTATATAGCCTAATCGAAACCAACAGACACCTTGAAACAGCAAAATTAACTATGTAGCCTAATACAATTTTATAATATTTTATCAATTTTTAATGTCTCAGAATTAATTTTAGACCTATTCTATAAAGGCTTAACACTTCAATCAAATGTGGTTTGGCTCCGTGCCTATTCAATATATGTACCGGTATACCAAGACTAAGCTTCAGATGCAATAAAAGTACTTAAGCCTACACAGTGTCAATACTACATTCACTAACACATAACTTAAAATGCAATATAGACCTAGACCTAACTTGGACCCTTTCAATCCTACCGGTAGGCTATCAGGCTAGCCACAAACATGTGACTAGTGTTGGTAAAATTTCAAAAAACATTAATATTTGGCACAAAAAAATCCACGGCAAAAAACATCGAGTCCTAAACATCGATGTTTTAAATAGGCTGGATCGATGTTTTAACATCGATGAGCAAAATATGGGAAAAGATGTTAGTGACGCAAGTGTACACAATTTTTAAAAAAACTTGACAAAACAGGAACAATAAAACCAACATATCTTGTGTTTTGTCTGTTTAAAATTTAAATAGGCCTATAAACATTAGAGAAAAATAAGAATGTGAAATAAAAAGAAACCCATAAAACTTAAGGTTAGGCCTACCTAGGCTAAGTTATATGCTTTATGAGCCTAACAAAAGTGTTAACTGAAAAATATGTCAAACTAACATAAAATAATAAGAGAAGTGAGGAAGAAGAAAAAAATTTTCAAAACAGTGTTGCCTAGGCGTCTGTTCTGTAGCAACTAACTTAGCAAGCAGGGTGGAGTAGTGTCTAGTGAAGCGAGCTGTCGTCTGCTGTGTCTATGGCTAGTTGGCCCGTTCAGACTAGGCCTATTTAGTCTTTGAAAGATCAGCTAAGTTATATCATATCAGCTAGAATAACATGTTAATGTAAAATTTCGTTCAAAATACAAATATTAGGCCTAATATAAAAAATTTCTAGTTCAGGTTGCCGAATAGGAAATTTAACTACATAAATAACCGCTGATAAACCATAAAGGGTAAAAATCAATGTTTTTGGGTAAACACATCAATGTCCGTTATATTATCGTAGGCCCTTCCACAAAAATCGGTGTTAATCCATCGATGTTTGAAACGATAACTTAAACATCAATGTTCGGAAAACGTCGATATTCATATGCCATCACTTCATGTGAGAGTAAATCAAATTTGCCTGAATAAACCATAGGTCATAAACAAGTTGGGCCTACACTATCAGGTCTGGATCATTTTGTTGACATGTTGTTGCTTAAAAATTACTTGTAGGCCTAGATCTTTCTAGTAATTCTGATGAGTTGAAGTTATATTTTGTTAACATGATATAGGCTAGGCTACTTGGACTAAAGAACGATAGGCCTAAACATCAGTCTGTGATCAAGTTGTTTGTGGACATGAGACATTTGTATGAGGTTATTGATGATATCTCATTGTCCCTCTAATAGTTAACATGCGATAATTTCTTTTTTATACACAAAATACTTGATAAGTTGAGCAAGCACTAACCTATTCTACAGGCAAAACTTACCCGAACGTTTTTTACATGTTAAAATATTCCTGCATACCCTCGGACACAATTAATTGCTCCCAAAATAGGTCGTCCCAAGGCAATACACAGGGGCTTTAAACGGCATAAAATACACAATATGCACAAAGCATAACTTTGGGTTATTACACAGCTTACTTTTCACTTGCATTTGTTTTGTAAAACTGAGTAACAATTCATACTAACCATTTACAAACCGAGTACACCATAATGAGACGTAAACAGCGACAGAACCTCCCTCTACTTGCCTAACCATTACCTGCCATTTTGAATTGGAATATTGGAAAAGGGCAATAGCCCAAGACCGTCACAATTATAAAGATATTATTGAAATGTACTATATAAAGTCATTTTACGTACCTCAGCTGCATAAAATTAAAAAGAGATTGATTTGAAATAAATATCATGGTTTCAACATTTACATTAAATAGCCTAGTATAAGAAGGCTTCTAATCACAATTTAAAATGAGAACCCTGTTTTTTAAGTGTATTTGTGTTTCGTGTTGGTTTAGCCATTACCATTACCATTACCAACTCCTATGTCGTTGCCCAACACTTGTTGGATAGACTGCGTCAATTTAAATTACAGTTATAAAACTTATAAAAAAAATAACATTCTTATTTAACCAATATTTACAAAAACTAGTGATGGCGGTGCATATTATATATTCGAGAAGTACTCGCCAGACACTTCCTCAAAAGAGTACAGTGGCTCATTTGTGAGTTTGTTAAAAATCCGCATGGAGAAAGCTTTCATGTCTTCAGTGTGGGCCCGAGGCGGTAACATGTTGTAGAATCGCATGGCTGGGATGGGATGGGCTGCCAAGGATCTTGATAACCTGCATCGAGGAATGTCAAGTTTCTGTGCATGCCTGGTGTCATGATTATGGAGATCACCCCTCTGTTGATATTCACCTATGTTATTTCTGAGATTAATCAAGCCGTAATAAACATATTGGCTGAAGATGGTCATAACCATAAGGTTGGCGAATAGGGGCTTACAGTGGTCTCTATAACCAGCGGCTGACAGCACTCTGACTGCCTTCTTCTGCAGACGAAGCACTTTTATACAGCCAGGAGCATGTCCCCAGAGCAGGATTCCATATCTGATATGGCTTTGAAATAGGGCATGATATACATTTATCAAATATTTATCAGTGATGACCCCCCTAAGTTTCCACAGAAGAAAAACCACACGGGAGAGTTTAACACATACATCACTGATATGTTGTTCCCAGGTAAACTTAGGGTCTAGGCTGAAGCCCAGCAATTTCACGCTGCTTTGCTGATCAATATTCATTGTTTTGCTTAAAGTGCATAACATTCTCTGGGTCTTGTCTCCATTCAACTGTAGCCGATTTCTGGCAAACCAGATTTTAGCAGCATCCAGTGCAGCTTCTGCCTCTATCAAAACTTGGTTTATAACTTTCCCTCTAGTTATTATTGAGGTGTCATCAGCATACAGGAGTGCTCTGCCCTGGAGATGGAGGTCATTCACAACAATCAGAAACAGAAGAGGGCCCAGGACCGAGCCCTGAGGGACTCCGTGGCAAACCTGGCGTGGACCAGATGTGGCACCACCAACTGTGACAACCTGGTATATGTTATCAAGATAAGATTTGATGGTCTTTAGTGCAACTCCTTCAACACCATAGCGACTCAGTTTTTCCAGCAGTAAACTGTGCGACACGCAGTCGAACGCTTTGCTGAGGTCGCAAAGCGTGATAGAAACACTGTCCCTTGCCTCAAAGGCGTTTTTGATTTCCTCAGCTAGAACCATAACTGCGTCTGAAGTTAGCTTGAGTAGTAGTAGTAGTTAGCTTGAGTGTGCTAAAAATCGACTTAATGTTAACTCTTTTATTAGGGTAGGCCTATATTTTACGATTGTTGCTTAACTCTCTGGCTAAGATACGAGAAAAATAGCAAAGTTTACTAATATAGTTATTAAAAATATATTTCGTCATAAAAATAGTTTCAACGATGATTAAAAAGGAAACAAAATCTCAGGCTGCGACAGAAGTCTTTCACGTAGGTTGTGCTACTAAGAAGTTACTGTTGGTACAAAGGAAATATTCGATAGTGCACTTATGTGGTGTCTGGCACTAGCATAGATAAAACATACTCGATCCTAAAGGAGTATTTTTTATCCCAAATGACCCCATAATAGGGTGTCATAAGGACAAGGATGTTCTGATCAGACAATTTTGACAATTGTTTTAAAAGAAATATGCAAGAACCAACCCTCATACACACACTGTCGACATGGTCAAAAACGAAGGTGTTTGTCTAATATTAAACCAAGGACCTTGACACCTTCTGTCGACTCAATTTCCACGTTGTCTAAAAGGATAGCTGCACGGCCACCTCTAACTACAGGCCGTGGCCTGGTAGCATTGGCAACGTCGCAAAGTGGTGTTGTCTAGCGCCAGACGTCCCTTAAGATAACATGGCAGACTATAGTGACACCAGCTCATTATTACGAATATTATTCATTAAAATTAAAATTTATGAACATAAATTTACTGAAAGATTGAAAATAAAACATATAGAATTGAAAACAAAAAAAATATTTGTGATGTGGAAAGCGAATAGGGTCCTCTTTCGGGAATTTTCGATTTCGAGCTATGTATATTTCTTATTAAATTCCGAATCACTCTTTGGTGCAAGTCCCAGGCATCTACGTTTTTTTCTTTTTTTGTTATAGTTATAGGACTTTGAAATAAAATATGCATAAAAACAGTATTTTTCGTATTTAAGAAACGATTTTGGTATCAAAAGAAAGCTTTTAATGTCCTCTTTGGAGGTAATACCAATTTTTTTTCTTTCACGGTAGTTTTCATTTAAATAATAGTTTTATTGAAGCATGTCGTAAAAATCACATTCCAGAAAAGGGACTTCTCGTCGGCCCAATGCTATTTCTCCACACGGTAAGAAAAGGTACCTCTTGTCGGGACCGCAAAATTTGTGAGATATTTTGTCCTCCGTTAACTGAACTTTGTTGTAGTTCTCTAAATTACTACTAGAATGCGGGACAATTAATTTTTTGGACCAAAATCTGTTTATAAAGTGAATATTAGAAATAGGACCTCTCGTCGTTATGGCAAAATAACATTGAACGACAAGAGGTACCTTTTCTCAGACCGTGCAGAGGTTAACAAATGATTTATTTTGACCTTTTACATCTCCCACTCGACATTTTAAACGATACTGTCCTGTTCTATGCTAAATGAGGTATAACAATCGATAAAAAAACCGAATTTCGATATTTTTGACCTTAACTTATATCGGGTGAACTGAAAATTTTTCATCGCCGACAAGAGGTCCCTTTTCCAGACATTTTAAACGATACTGTCCTGTTCTATGCTAAATGAGGTATAACAATCGATAAAAACTGAATTTCGATATTTTTGACCTTAATTACTTATATCGGGTGTACTGACAATTTTTCATCGCCGACAAGAGGTCCCTTTTCGCTTTCCACATCACATTTACATAGAAAGTCAATTTTTGTACTTTTAAAGTGTAGTCAATATTTTCATAGCCCACCAACCAAGCATTCGTGTTTTTAAAAAATACACAAATAATCACCATTAGCTGCATCCAAACAAATCAGCTGTTACAACCCTACTTGCAAATATTGCAACTTCGAAGGCCGCGGCCTGGAGTTAAATCACATTAAAGGTGGCTCGGTGGCTGTGATAGTTGTGTGTGTGGATTGCCTTGGATTGAAAACTTGAGCAATTCAGTTTTGTTTGGGGTTGAGATTTAATAAATTGGGAACAAACCACTCAACTACTGCTGCTTTATGTTATTTGCTTCAATAAACGATTTTAATTCTAATTCCAAGGAAATTGAGCCAGACAGAGCTAAAGACGTGTCATCCGCAAAGAGACAGATCATTGATTGATAATTGACTTGTAGTATCTAAAGTCAATGGTGAAGTTTCTTAAAATTGGAAAAACCTTAATCTAAGGTCTATGGACTTTGATATTTTTTTATGACGTGTGAGTTGGCATTAGCCAAACATTGAATTCTTCTTCACGCATAAAGAATTTGTTGGCAGCACTGGTGATGATAATAAACATAAAGTACGAGAGTATTGTCATTATTGTCAATGTTTTTGTTTTATGACATTCTACTGAATACTGAATATAGTGGGTAGTTTTCTTTCTGCTAAGTGCCAACATTTGGAACATTTCACATTTCTGTTCTGTCGTTCTGTGTAGGTCTAGGTCCTATCTCTGGTTGTGATCGACGTTGCAAGTTTACAAAATTTACAATTCTTTGCTCTTATAAATTATTCCAGCTCACCAAGTTCTCTTGAATTGAAGAAAAGTGTGTAATTTTCGTTCAAGTGTAACAACTAACAAAATACATCCCTGTAGTATCCACATACAAGATGAAATTAACATTATAGACCCTTTAAAGGTAAGTGTAAGCTATTATCAATGTCTAAATCCTTTGACGATTCAGTTTATCAATTCAAATTTGTTGATGAAATTTTTGTTTTTAAGCACCGACCTTTAACTAGTATTGAAGACCTTATTTCACCCATGTTTTCGCCAATCAATTTGCATGATTTCTCATAAAATATTAAAATCAATTAAGTTATTAAGTTATAGCCTAATTGAGAAATGCAGTGATGCTAAATAGCTCCTGTAAGCCATATTATTTGTTCTGCCACAGGTAGCCTACCTATATCTCTACAAATCATAGTCTCAAAAGTCAAAAACATTCCCTTGTGCAGTCCTTTTCTGTTAGGCTAAACTAACTTAGCAGGTGTTTTCATTTCTCACAAAAAAATATCTACTCCATTCTGGTTGGATAGGGCCCTAGTAGGGATGAGCATCAATAGGTCTACTATCGATGTACCAATAACATCGTCGCAAAAACATTGATGTTTTCAAGGCTAAATAACATATCGATGACAATCGATGTTTTTTCAGTTTTATTGTCATCTGCAGTTAGAGGTTATACAGTTTAACCTCTTACTAATACAATTCAGTCATAGAAAACATCGATACCGGTATTTCAATACTTAAGGAAAAACATCGGCAATCTACCATCGATAACTTGATAAGTTTGTGTTTTCATTTGCAAATTGCAAACTTCGCTTTCGGTTTTTCAACACCTCATGCTGTTTCTGACAATATTGGCGTTTTTGGATTAAGTGTAGGCTATCTTATGAAATACGGTACTGTAAAAGGAGGAATTTCAATAAAAAACTATAAGGGGCAACCATTACTTAGGCTACTGCCCAAATAACTACCGGTACTTTTGTTCATTATGCTATAGGTACCGTTTTCATTTTAAGATTTGACTTTTATCACTTAGCCTACTACCTCATCGGAATGCTATGCAACAGTACGTGATTCTGTTTAGGCGTACTCATTGAAAAAATGTGTCATCTGTTTGTGTTAAAATAGGCTAATATTGAAACTTTATTTTTGTTGTTAATTTAATAATAAATTTTTAATTTATTATTTTCAGCTATGTTAGGTCAAAAGACCATATTTAGTGTTCCTCTGCTGGACATGAACAGAGAGGATGAACAAAACCAAGTCGAGGTTAGTGAAGACATTGAGTGGGTCACAAGATGGGATGAAACTTTGATGCTTGTGGATTATGGAGAAGATGATTGGTACTGTCTCCACGATATAACACTAAGTGGCCAGGTAAGCAGCTTATTGAGCTCTTTGCGCCTAAGGAATGATTTTTAGCAGAGCTAGCTTCTACAGAGCATTTTTCAATATACAGGTTTTATTTTTAAATGATAGATACAGTTTATGAGCATAGCATTTTCAAAAGTAGGCTATACAGACTGTTTTTACGATAAATAAAACATTTTAATCCATCGATGTTACAGCGTAAACTGTACCGTCAGATGTAATTCACTGCCAGACGTTTTGTCCTTGCTGTAAAATGGCGTCTCATGTAGGCCTACTGTCTATATGCTGTCTCAGCTTTTAAAACTGATTTGACCATTTTAAGAACGGATAGGGTCACGAAATCATCTTTAGTCTAAATTTTTCCCAATCCAGAAGGACTTGAACTACTGTGATATCAGAAGTCGAATGCTTCTGTTTGACATAATCATAAGTCAACAGGCCAGACATTTTTATTTCGAGTTCGGTCAGTTAAAACGACCTTCAGGTCTCTGGTTAAAATGGGGATTCTTTAAAAAATATTGGAATTTAAAATATTAATTTCTTCTACAATCAGTTTATAAAATCTCCTCTGATCGGGGCAATATTCTGAATGTATCGTATAGTGAAAAAAATCATTAATATCTCTCATGATCACAGTGGAATTGTGAACATCTTCTGTGGTTGCAGAGAAATCATCATTGTCTCTGTGATTTTGGCTCCCTGGGAGATACCATTATCATCTCCCGCTGTTTTTGTGACCGCAAGCGCAAGAGACAAACATTGTGTTTTTTTTTATCTTGGGAGGTGATCAAAGTGTTGCTGTGATTGTGAAAGCACCATTTTGGCAATTTATAGTCCTAAAGAAACATTTTTTTATTGACTGCATTCCTTGCTAATCTGAACAGGTTCCATCCCAGTTGGTTCAAATTATTAGGACTCTGGTATAGCTGTTGTCATCTAGACTAAAACGACCTTTTGATAGTAATTCTAAAGACCCACAGTAAAAACCCACTAATCCGGCATCCGATAGTCCTTCATTAAAAAAATCTAGCATCGGTTTAAAGGTCTGATAGTTTGTTGTATGCAGTTTAAAATCATTTTAGCGCGATCGGCAGACGTCGGGAGCGATCGTTCATATGTCAGGAGTGGTCATTTAGACATCAGGAGCGATCGCTCAGACGGATTAGCTAGTGTCTACTGCACCTTTATTTTTAGCTTGTTGGGGTTGTACATTCACATCAAACTTAGGTTTTGTCTTTAATGAGAATGTACTTAAATAAAATAAAAGTTTTCACTGTCTTGAGGTTCATAAAATAACAGCCCTTTTCAGCATTTGTTGTAAGCTGTTAATATATTCCCTATTATCCTCAATGTAAGCATAACTGCTGGAACAGTTGGTGGCAATAGTTCTGAAAAAGCTGTAAACCCTAACTTCTTTTATTGAGAATGGGTGTAAGATGACAACCTCCGCTGTTAATTTATCCAATGGCAGCTTCTTAGGGTTGGAATACTGGGTAGCGGTAAGCTTGTGCCTGCCTAACGCCTAGGATCTAAAGAAAATACTCACCACGAGTCCATTGCATGAGTCGTTTGTGACTGATGAGTCTACTGGGGCTGTCCTGGGACTTTGGTCCTCCTGCCTACTGTGAGCAGCAAAAGAGCTGCTATATGTCAGTGTATATGCGCCGTATAAAGCCGTGAGTGTGTGGGTGCATCGGAACGCCCAGGGGCCCAAACAGAGACAATGTAAACACTGAAAGAATAGAAGCCTACAATCACACTGTGGAGTTAATTATTGTTTACACTATTAGCTCAAATGGTGCTCAGTATTGAGAAAAAACTTATTTTGGAATATCTTCTTAAATAGGTAATTATCAAATAAAGCTGTTTGTTGGAAATATGTATTTATTTTTGAATGGTGAGTCGGTGGCTCAGTTGGCAGCCTAGCAGACTTCAAAGCCACGACAGCGATGTTAAGTGGTTGGATCTTAACAAGAGACTGAAACCCTCTGTTTTTTAAAAGGAAAAAACAAAAGATTTAGTTATTCATGTAGGATATGTATTTGTTTTGTAAATACATGTTTCATTTTACTCAACATTCCTGTACAGCAGTTTAAAAAGTACTTCATGGTAAAACCACTCATGCCTAATATTTGTCTTTGTCATCTTTTTTGCCTGTCGCCAATCACTCCAACCCAAGCGACAGCCCTGTTACCAAAGTTATAATTTAATACATTGTTAAAGCATTTATGTTTTAAAATACAGGGTGTTTTTAAAAAAATGCCGGGATTTTAAATGATAATTGCTTGGGGACAATTCAAGGTAACTAAAAGTTTTATACGTCAAATTGGAGCTTAAATAACTAATTTTTGTTTCCCGTGTACTGTTGTAAGGGAGGAAACTTTGACCTTGGCATGCGCAAAACGCGGTGGTAGGCCACTATTGTGACTCATACGCATGACGCCAGTCGCCAGTACGACGTTTACGGCACAACAGAAGGCACAGAGTGTAATCTGTGATTCGCAGAGTTTAACTCCATTGCTAAATTAAACTAAGTTTAAATCTACTTGATGATAAAGAAACTTGAAGCTGGTTTCATGAGTTTTGTGGCACCATAGTGTTTTGAAAAGACATTCACCTGGCCGGCTAAAAACGCGATGACATAGTCGAAGGAATCCGACAATTCTGCATCAGAAGCCCGAAAAAATCGGTTGCCCGACGAAGTCTTCAGTTGAACAAACCTAAATTGGTCAATTTATGATGTTATCTGTAAAAGATAGTGTCTTTGTGCATAAAAAGATTCAGTTAAGACATCAGATAAGCCCGCCAACCACCCTAAGCGTACAGACCTTGCCAGTTTTACACTCATATAAGATTGATGAAAATCTGAATTTTATTAAATCATTCCAAATTGTATCAAAGAATGAGGAAAAATCTTTGTTCCTTTCCCTTCAATTTGACGTTTAAATAGTTTAATTATCTTAAATAGTCCCCAAGCAACGACTGTTTAAAATCCTGGCATTCTTTTAATAACACCCTGTAGATTCCAATAACAAGTAATTTTGAAACCTAAACTAACGATTCACTATTGCCACAGATACTGGAGTATAGTGGACAAGGAGCAAGCATTCTGGATGTTGGTTTAGCCCAAGCACGACAGCCACTAAACACTACGTCACACTATTTTGAAATTGAAATACTTGATCCAGGGAAAAACTGTTTTATCGCTATTGGATTGACCGAAAAGGTAATTATGCAGTCAACTATTATTTAAAATTGTTTTAGTGAAACAAAATGTAGCCCTTGAGTCATAATCAGATTAATCTTTTGCTCTTGTTTATTTATGTTTACTGGCTTGAATATAATACGTTCAATACAATTAAAACCAACGTTGTGTCACGATCCATTTCAGACCATAATTAATTTTACCGTAATCTGTGTATGATTACTATGGCTCATTTAGCCTGATTTGATGGCTTTTAGCTTTTAAGGGCTTAAGCCACACCGAAACCCGCTGCTATCCTCAAGAGACGGTAGATAACAGACGTTTTACCCAAGCCAAAAGTACCTTGCCGTGCCCTAGTTTAGACGTGGTTACATAATGTCTTTATGCATCATCTCAGCAACCACAGCACTGCAACTTCAAAACTCGGCCACTGCTAGTAGTGAACAAGATGCCTGTTTTCCATGATGTCAAAACTTAAAACTAAACATGACTTTTAGTTTTTTTGTTCTCATTTTCATCTTCTAAAATGGGGGCAGTTTCTTGGGAAAAAAATAAAGGCATGTACCTCATTTAAAGTTTTCTCTAATTCTTACCGTTCTCGATATCCCAATGGTGGCCTCCTTGAGTTGGTAACCCTGTGCACAGTGGCTAGTTAATGTGAGTTACATTTACACTCTAAGTGCCCATTTGTTTCCTTGTTACATTGATCTAAAAATGTATGTATTCATATTTTTAAATTGGATTGCAATTTTATTTGTGTTCTCTTTGTTTAAACAAACATACATAGGCCTAGTATAAACTGAATATGAACTGACTGGGTGACTGGGGAAGGACTTGCTGGGAAAGCATGTCTTCGTCAGTGTGTTATGTGATTGGTTGAGCAGTGTGTTATGTGGTTGGTTGAGGTGGCGTGATGATCGGACCACAGCAACATTCATTACGGTAGGTCAAACTTGCCATCATGATATACACAAATTACATTGATTATGCTTATGAAATAAGTACTGTAATTAATTTAGTACTCAGAGTACTGTATGAAATAACAGCTACCTATGTAAAAATGATTGCAGGGCTACCCAAAGAACAGACTACCAGGCTGGGACAAAGGCTCAATTGCTTACCATGCAGACGACGGAAAAGTCTTTGTTGGTTGTGGAGTAGGTGAAAAATTCGGGCCAAAATGTCATAAAGGAGACACTATGGGATGTGGTATATCCTTCCCTGTACCTTTAAGCCAGTAAGTAGTGAAATTTCTCATTTCATCCATACTAATCCTGCAATTGATTTCATTTTGGAGTTGAGGCTTTAGCTCTTTTAAAGTATTTTTTCCTTTAGCTCGAGACAGTTTTTGGTGTGTTGAAATTAGTTTTGGAATTTCTTTTGTAACATTCCATTATGACTCTTGATATATTTACTGTGGAAATAAATCTGATTTGTATTACCCTATCTTTTTTATTTTGTTAAAGGTGGTGTCTTAAATAATTTCAAAAAGATTATTAAACATAATAATTTACGTGACATGAAATTAAATTCAAGCAATTTTATAATAATATTTTCTTTGTGAGCAATTTCATTATTTTGAAAAGACAATTTTAGATGAATCTGTTAAGGACTTAACAAACCATTTTGATAAAGAAAGATCATGAACAATGAGTTATAAAAATTGGCTTCAATGTATCAAGGAATCCTCTTCTCTGTGCTTTTAGATAGAAAATTTCAAGGTCAAACGAAGTTCAGGGTAGTTAACTTGCACACTTCATCAAAACGATAATTTGGTGCCTTGGGAATAGCCCTTGAAGTTTCCTTACAGTGAACAATGAATCATTATTGATCTAGATAGCTTATACCGGTAACAAATATGATGAAAATCGTTGCATATTTTGCCCTTGTTTCAGAAAGTCTAAATCCTGCAGATTTCCTGCTGATGATTTAAGAAGTAACGATGAAGAAGATGAAACTGGAGGTTCAGGTTTTGTTGAGGTAAAATAAAATATACTGTTTAAGCAATAATATTGTGGATATTGGTGAAGGTGTGTCTGCGATAATTTTACAGAACAGCGAAAACAAGCATTTAGATTAAACATATTACAAAATCATCAGCATAGTCCCTCAAACTCCACGTAATGTGGCCGAAAGGGTGTTGGTTTTTAAAAAGGGCTAACAATTAAAAATGAGACATAACATTATAGTAGGCCTATACCTTACTTCAATTTGTCATAATCTTTTACCTTTTACATTACCGTGACATTGAAATACATGAATTATTATGTTAATAAGATGTTAAATGTTTACAAAACTTGGTTTTTACCCCAAAAAATCAAGGGTATTGTGTTGACTGACTGGTTAAGCAACTTACAAGCACTTCGGCCTTTAAATGTGTGCTAGGCATCCTGGTCTATATGTCTAAAAGTAGTGCTTGGTCCCAATAAAAAAGCAAAGGTATTGTAAATATCAAAGCTTCTAATTTAGGTTATTTTCCACAAGGGTCGCAAATCACATCTGACATAGTTATCTAAAGAACTTACATATACAGTACATGGTTTCCGAGTTTGCTCAGAAAACTGGACTGCCAGTTTATCAGGTACCGAGTATGTGGGACTTTACTGTAATTAATTTAGTTTTGATTGTGGATTCAAGGAATTATGAGAAATGAGTGTCTACTTTCAAACAGTTAACTAATTGTTTTTTAGTGTAGACTTGTAAACAATTTTGTTAGATCCGAACTTCTAGTCTCATTTCCTCATAAAAATTACCCTCCTTTATCATCCTACAGCTTCAGTTATTACCTAAACACTTATTGTTCTAGGTCTTCTTCACTAAAAACGGGACAATGGTTGGAGTAAGAAGAGTCATGCTTCCGTTCGGTGGTTTTCTTCCTTCTGTTGGAATGTTAAGTTTCCACGAAAAAGTGAAAGTAAACTTAAAACCCCTTACAGGTTGATAAGTTACGGTGGTTTTAAAAACTAACTGGTTCTGTGATATTAATACTAGTGCACTACTACAGTATGTGCTTTTAACTATCAATACCTGTGATTTGTTATTGAACAGTCTTGCCAAATTCAAGCCATTCAAGATTGTGCCTTTATCCTTAAAAAATTGTTCAAAGAGTTGGACCAAGGCTGGCTCTTCCACTGGCTAGAACCCACCCTATTATATACTGTAAAGTTGGTTTATTAAAATCAAAATAACAAGCATTCAACTGAACACAAACACACCATACATGCTAGAACCCCCTTACTCAAGTTGCTATGTATGGAGGAGTTTTTACAGACAAGCAGATATGATTTGCACTACCCTTTTGCGCCGTGTGATAGTAAGGGTGTATCTCATGTATAAATTGAATCATTTAGAGAGGCAAGCGAGATGTGCATGGCCGTTAACACTCATCCTCACCACCATCACTTAACTTAAATTGTTATTCTGTATAGTCATCTCAAAAATTTCCGTTAAATCTCACTTAATATATGTATTCAGAGTAGATGAAAATTTATGGAAGAAGTTTTCAGTTTCTCCCACCACCCTGTCTCCATGTCGTCCTAAGTCACGATCAATAAGTATACATTTGTAAATTTATAGGTGAAAACATATTTATGTACATCCAAAGTATTCATACATGGGATCACAAAAATGTGTGTTATGTAGAACTGCATTTTAAAATAAAAAATGTTAGGTTTGCAAACCTTCAAAACATAGCACAGTAGTTTACGGTCACTAAAGTGTTCTGAATAAATGCATTATATTTTAATTAAGAAGTAGATTACAAAGCAACTATGAAAAAAAGTAATATGATCTACAAAGTGTGTTTTTAATTGCACATTACCAAACAACCAGCCAGTGGTCCAGCCTGTTGTAGAATCTGCCTTGGTTGAACAAAACTAAGCAGTCGTGCTCTCAAATGTTTGTGTCTAGTGACTAAGACAGGTATTATTGTAATAAGTTTTAACCATCCAACAGACACATTCAATTATTGACTTGTGATATGTGTAACCTAATACTCAAACACTGTTTACAATCAATGCAATAAACCCATGAAGAGTGTCATAATTTAAGAAATATCTCTTCTTATTTAACCTTTATCCCTCCTTGAGTAAATATAATATGTTACATGCTTTAGTATACACTTACACACAAATTATGCTGGTCTAGTTCCCTTGCACTACTTGGAAGAGTAATGGCTATTTACTTTGCTTAAAGTAAAATGAAACTTGATACTAACTTCCATTGGAAGCTCCACTGCGCCGTGATCGTCAACTTAAGTAACAGGACGCGTCAACTTAAGACTCATTTAATCATCTTTTTATGTAGAATATTTCAGGTAAAAGATAGCTTCATGCCCTGGGAATAACTGGGACTTTGCAGTTTCCTACACCAAACAATAAAAATAACTCCGTGAACAAAATTGATTCTACCAAAGGGTTTGCATTATAGCAACTTTTTTTCATATCTTTAACATTAAGTCCACTCTCTGCTTCAACCAGGCAACCAATCCACACTACAACCATCTGGTTAAAGTAATAACTTATTCTTTCAGTGCCACTGGGAACTGTTTTTTTAAGGATTTCATAGGATAAAGTAATGAATCCCACACACAACATACTGTTAATCTCTGACTATTGATACAACTAGACATCCCATACCCATGGAGCTGTCGCCAGTTTTTTTAAAATTTTAATCCAAATCGTTTTAGTTGATGTTAGCCTCCGACAGATTGTGCTGATCTACATTACTAAATTCTGTCAGATAGGTACACAAACTTTTTCACCAAGTCAAACTAATAGAACTACTTATATGGTATTGTGAGCTATAGCACCTGTTATCAACTGTAATCAACTTGGTCAGAAACAAAATATAATTTCAGATACTAGTCCATTCTGTTACTGGCTCATAGAACTATGTTCTTTTTTTACAATAAAAAAATTGGTACAGATGGTCAATATAGATTGTATGTATGCTTCAGTATACAATAGTCAATGTTGTTAATACAGATTCATTCAGTGGAACAATATTTACCTTAATGGTTGCCTTTTGTTCTTGAGTAACTGTAGGTAACCTGTAGCACAGAAAACATACTACTATAACCCAGAATGCCAACCGCATGGTAAAAAGCATTAAGCGTTTTGAGAGAGCTTTGCCTGTCAATCCGTAGGCAGCGCCACCAGTGTTGCCATGCAATAGCATAGCAACGCTGGTGGCGCTGCCTACCGATTGACAGGCAAAGCTCTCTCAAAACGCTTAATGCTTTTTACCATGCGGTTGGCATTCTGGGTTATAGTAGTACGTTTTCTGTGCCTGTAGGTGGTAACCAATGCACGTTTCAACATGTGGGAATCATAATTTTAAGTGAATGAAGACCGTGAAGATGCTGTACCAAGTGGCAAAGTGTGCACAGGTTTTGACTTACATTGACTCAAGAAAAAAGGAATGTAAATCGAGGTATATATTGATTAATAGGTTTTTTTTAAAAACTGGGAACACAAATATTTTATCAATGACCCACGCCCTTGGAAAGTCTTGGGGATATCCCAGTGGGATATGGGGGATATCCTCTGTAAATCCCTCAAAGTCCTCAGAGTTTCCTGGGATATCCCTATTCCTTATGTCCACCAAAATCCTGATCCCTGGGAAATCCCATCAGGAATCATAAATAAAAAAAATAATACATAAAAACACAAAATAATAAAGAATTAGTCTGAAAAGCACATTTATCAGTTGAGTATTTTGATTAAATAGTGTATAAAAACATATTTAAAAAAAAAAATAGGTCAAAAATTTTTCCCTAGACAGGTCTCGAACCTGATACCCTCAGGTTATGATCCTCTTACCTTACCTCTGAGCTATCTGTGGTTGTTGATATTATAAGTTTTCAAGCTGTTAAAGAGGAGCCAACAGCTGCAATGGTCCCAATACTTTAATATTTTTTATACTATGATTCTGTTTAGGCATAAAGTTGTTGAATTTTTTTCTGGGAGTTGAAGAGTATACTGGTATTTAAACATTGATTAATTAATTACCATTAGTAATGTTATTATAATTGTTATATGATTAATTAATATTTCCCATTAAATTGTTCAACAAATAAAATTTTCTCAAATAAGTTAAAGAATTTTAGTTAAAAAAATATATTTATGCATTATTATTATTATTATAAGCAGGTGTATTATTATTATAAAAAGGTTAATAATTTGAATTGTATAATTATTCTGCGAAGCTCTGCCCCACGGAGAATTCCAACAGATCTCCAAGGGATGTCCTATGGATATGATCAGAAAACTTGATTAATTTTTATAAATCGCATTGGCAATGTTATTGTTAGTTTGAAATAAGATTAAAATCATTTTAATTGTGTTTCTCAAGCACTGGTCACTTGAAAAAATACATCCAATACTATAAAATATGTTTTGAGGTAGCCTACCGACCAAGAATATCCATAGGAAGTCCCAAGGAAATCCCCAAAATATATTTTTTGGTGTGGGATATGCGCAATATCCTACAGTGGTCCTAGGGACATTCTCAAATCCTGGAATCTCTGTGTGGGATATGTGTGAACTGGTCAGGAGATCCTTGGAATATCCTGTGCTGTGTGGGATAGTCCCGGGGATTTCCCAGGCGATCTTCCACGGATCTTCTCAGCGTAAGAACAAATATATTTACCATACTAAGTAATTACGTAATAAACATTATCATTTGAAAAAAAAATATAAACATTACCAGCAGTGTATTTCGTAGCATATCTCGAGAAACTCTTGAATTCTTAGTGGATTTTACAAATTATGATAAAAAGGATATCGTGGATATTTGAGGGATATGCCAAATATATTCCCGTTCATCGATCAAAAACCCTTAAAAAATTTAAATTCATTACTGCAACGGGCATATCCCAGGGATATTCCTATATCCCATGGGATTTTGGGACGTTTTGGGAACCGTGTGGGATATTCTGTGCTGTGTGGGTGAAACACTATAACTTGTCCTCTGATCGGGAATGCGTAGCAAGATAGCAAGAACAAGTCAGAGTGAGTATTGTGTCTGGAGAATATCCAAATTATCATGTTACATGATGAAGCAGGGTGTGATGTCAAATACTCATAAGAAAAAATCTAGATTGATCTACAGCATTGAGGGCTGTAGCATTTTGTTCATGCAAGCAATATCGTTTCCATTGGCGAACTCGTTGGACTTTGAGAATAGACTTGGCGCTGCTTCCGAGCTCCCCCCCCTGCCAGCGGCACTCATGCGGCCCTGACATTTATTTTGGTGTTTCCAGGGCTGCAGTTTAGCAGTTACTGGAAACAGCTTTGTCTGGTTTAGAGGCTTCACAACTGAAGCAAAAACATAAACCATCACTTTTAGTTTGTCAAAGACTAAATGCTCTTAATCGGCCTGCAAAGCTGCTGGGCATTGTACTTGACCCACAGCTGCATTGGACAAATCATATTGAAATAATTTGTTTCAGAGTAATATATACCGGTACCTACTTTAAGTTTAAAAGCTAATATGTCCCAGAAGTTTGTTCGTCTTGTTTGCATGGCTTTCTTCCAAACCCACCTACTCTATGGTACTACTAGCGACTGGGGACTTGCACCTGCTGTCCAAAAGGCAAGTTCTACTTGTGCAAAAAAGGATGTCAGGGTCCTCTGTGGAGCCCAACAGCTTGGGTATTGCAAACCCTGCTGATGGAAAACTGTATAATGTCTGTATATAATCCTGAATGTTTATTGGGGTTGGGGATCACGTAAACACAATTTCTCTGAAGAGTAGTGTTCATAGCCATGCAGCTATAGGATCTCTTCTAAAAGGTACATAGGCATAGGGTTAGGCTAACCAAAACTTTAAATTCTATTCCTGTTGCAGGTATAACATTTTTTTTACACAATACCCACTGCTATTAAAAAGAAGGCCTGCAAAAGATTTGCGAAATGAGTAAAAAATTGTTTGGTGTGGCAAACCCATTTTACTCCTTGCAGGAGTTTTGTATTTCAGATTATCACACAATCAAGAAAAAAATAAAGAAAAGAATTAAACCCTACCTAAAGGTATGAGTGTGGTTTTTTTAAGTTTTCCATTTTGCCTTTTTCCTGTTTTGTTAAATTACATTTTTCCTTCCCCCTTTGCATGTTATATTTTTGTTTTATCTAGTTTTGCAAAATGTGCTCTTTGGAAATTGGACTTTTTGTTTGGACTTTAGTGTGAGTCAGGAGCGCATGCTTCTCTGTTTTGTTAGTTTTTGTGATTTGGCTAATTGTCAATGACCGAAAGTCTCAAAAAAAATTTGAATCCTGATGAGTCTAAATTATACTTAAAATTTTGACAGCTCAATATTTAGCTATGCAGCGCTATCGTTGATTATACCATGGACTAACCAACAAAGTAGACTTCTCATCCCATTGTAAATTTAGAAGATTTTTTTTGTGTCTAGTTCATGTCCGGTAACGCACTTATCGCTAGGGTCGACGACATTTTGATCTATTATTTTAGGGTTAATTTTATGATTTGTACTTTACTGTTTGTTTATATAACAAGATGACGAGTCATTATTTATGATTGGATCACTTTGTTTGGTGAAACGAGGTTTTAAATAACTTAAATAACAAGAAACAAATTGTAAACAAAACATGACCTCTAAAGTGCACTAGACAAAACTAACAATACAATTGGCTTCAGCTATTCCAAATGATGGGGAATCTACTAACTACTATTACTAAGGGACTACGTTTGATCTATGATTATACATCTCCAAATAAAGGCAAGTATCGACCTGAGATGTTTAATCAACGGTAACATTAACACTAATTTAATGAGATAAATTCGTGTAAGCTTCGTATATTTATCCTATGATGTTGGATTGTACTAGTAAATAGATTAAAATTATTTTTAGACCAAGATCCTAGAAGTTAAATAATTTTCTATAAATATGCAATTAAAATGATACATACTTTTATGTCTATGTAAGGTAATCCTAATGATCATTGCTTATACCTTATATTGTACTCTATGTAGATCCCACGTACTCGTTCATTGGTCATTTTCTGGCCTGGCCTGGATAAATGTCTTCT